GTAGTTTTTGGTGATTTGTGTTTATTTTTCGTTACTTTAGTTAGAGTTATTGGTAGTTTTTAAAATTTTATAAAAATGGAGGTAAAAATTGAATAATAAGTCATCTTGCCCTGGTCACGTGACCAGATGACAAATTTATGAACTTTTTTATTTTAATATTTATTTCAAATTGTTATATTTGCAAACGGAAAATTTATGCAGGGAATAAATCATTTTAATAACATAAACATACTCAGAAAGTATTATTGCTTCACGACTGATAGTTTTGCAATAACTCAGGCCTTTCAAAACGTTCGCCATGTTGCCCCGCTTTCCCTTATATAAATTCGATATCTTGGGAAATATAAATTCGATGTCTTGGGAAAAAATCAGCTCAATATGTTGAGTGCTTCTTTATTTTTAAGTCTACTTCATTTTGCACTAGAGCGGCGAATAGTGCGTTGAATCAGGGTTATTGCCAGAAATGTTTCATCTGCGCATGTTAATAGATGAAAAAATTCGCTTTACACAAATATTCCGTAAAAAACGGTCTTAATGCGAGAGCTTGAGCTGCTTATAATTTTATTGGTTTTATTATTACGTTTTGTTTAACCTGTATTTTATTGCCAGATGATAAGGAGAAACATATTTAAATAAAAGTTATGTAACATATGACACTTTTAAAGAACGTGTTCTGAATGCTTACTTCATTAGCGATATTCTACAACTACATCAGACTATATATTACCATTCGATTCTTTGTAGTATATACAACCTCGGCAAATATTTTCCGTATATTTTTTAATTTTAAAACTATATACAGGGTTCGTAGCCACATATTTATAAAAATTTCCCTGACTTTTCCCTGACTTTTTTAAAAAATCAGATGAATTTCCCTGATCATTTTTAACATTTACAATGGTTTTTATAAAATGTTAAAAATTACTACTGTAATGAAAATGTTAAAATGTACATGCTTAGAATGACAAAACTTATAAAACTTAACTATTAGTTAAATTGGATGTTAGTATAGACTTTATTTTACATATTTGTATGGATCTTATTATAAAGGATGACTAAGAATAAACACTAAGAAGTTTCAGGTGAGCTTCTTAAAAAATCTAAATATTATGCACATAAAATTTAGTTTCAGTTGACCTTCAAGAAAATGTTATGCACATAAAATATTTTATATAAAATTATTTTTCACTAACACAAAAATAATCTAAAATGTCTATGTAGATATCTTTCAATACCTTGAGCAATATTTGGTCTATAACAGAGACTACTTTGGGTTAGTCGTTTGTTATCACTATTTGTAGCTGTACCTTCGCTAATTCAACAATACCTTTAGATAAAAATAGCACAGTATAACACAAGATGCTTAGAAACAATAAAAAAAACTTTTAATTAATTTTAAATTGAATATATTTTTTAAGCAAAATCTTATATTGAAAATATAATTAAAGTTTTTTAACTAGCCATATTTGCATAAATGTCAACATAAATAATATTTTATATAAACAAACAAATTGTCAAAAAGCAACGAATGTTATTTCAGTTTCTTTCTCTTCTCTTCTAATATCAATAATGTTTCCTCCAACTTAGCTACATCTTTCATTTTCTTCTCACTTTTTCTTTTTAAAGCATTCGCTTTGCTGACTAATGATAAATTGTTTTCTTTTTCTGCTTGTTCCACAGTTAAGACAAACTTTTTCTAGCACCAATGAAGTTTTTGTAAGGAAACCCATTTTAGATTTTAGCTCTTCAATTTCAAAAAAAATAATGGCTTTCTGATCTAACATTGCATGTTTTTTATTCTTTGACTTCTCTTCCTCAAGCATGATCTGGTATTTTTGATGTGCAGATCTAAAGGCAACTTTCATTTCTGATGCAATCTGGACAGAGTGGGGGTTGAGGTTGTTGGTAAGCATGAATTCACGCACAAGACGCCGTCCAACAATACCATCTGTTGATATATTATCAGTAACCATATGTTTATTGACACTAAACCCCCGTTCAACTGATGCCTGTCCATGACTCAGAGTCAAAACCAACTTAATGACAGATGACAACTCTGGATACTTTTTTATGTCAATGTTTTTGAAGTAAAAATCATCAAAACGTTTATTCTTTCGATCATAACCAATGAAAACATCCTGATTCATAGCAAATTCTGATGAAATAAACTTTGAGAACTGGCTGATAACTTTGTAAGAATAAAAAGCAGTTAATATTCTAAGTGAAATAAGATGATGCAGCAATATTTTTATTTGATTCCTATTTTTTTCAGGTGTGATCTGAGCATAAAAATTTGGAAGCAAACAAATACTCGTGTTAACAATCACGGAATCAAGGGGACATCTTTTAAATAACTTTTCAGCAGCTGAAATCAAAATGTGCAAGCATTAAATTTTTAATTCTTTCATATCCTTCAAAATAACTGCGTCAATCTTTCTGAGCTTTGACAGTGATAATTCAGCAGCAAACACAATATCAATTTCAATGGGTTTCAAATTTTGCAGATCAACTTTTGGTAAGTTTTGAGCTAGCCTCAATAGTTTCAGATTTAACGAACATCCTAAGAATACTTATAATCAACTGCACAAGATCATTATTCATGTGAGGCAACATTGAAGATAACGTTTCTGAAGCTCTATCCTTCTGATAGAGCTTCAGAAACAGTTCAAACATGCTCGCCAGGTAGCTGAAAAACTGGAATTTTACAAGGGAAAGTTCTTTTTTAACAGCATTTATAACAAACTTATATGATTTGCAAGATGGTCATTTACTTTTAGGCAGAGACTCCCAATAATTAACAATTTTTATAATAGATGGCCAAATACTAATTAATCTATCCGCTACCTTTTTGTCAACAACCCATCTGGTTGCGCAAAATGAAAGTGGGAACACAGAACCTTTAGTGATACTGATAAAGTCACTTCTTCTGGCGGGAGAATCATGAAATAAGGTAAAGCAGCTTTTGAATGTCTTTTTAAGTTCCTAATCAGTTGATTCTACTCAAGCCAAAGCCAAAGAGACAAGCTCAGTTGTTGTTTAAGTAAACCTTTAAAAGAAGACCATGAGTGATGCTATATCCAACTTTATTTGGTCCCATTTGAAAAGATTTAGCAATCTCAGTGTCAGGAAACATTGCTTGAAACAAATTTGTCACATTTTTGTTTGAATTGTTAGAAATTCTATTTAAGCAATAATGCAATGCCCACATAATTTCTGCACAGATTTTATTAGAATTTGATACGATGAGTTCTAAAGATTGCTACTTCATTTGTCCTGTTGAAAAACTATCAGTTATCTTTAAATTAGACTCTTTTACTGAATTATGTGAATTAGTATTTTGAGAATCAGATGATTTAAAAAAACAAGAGAAATTGCTTGCAACTGAAACATGTTTTTTTCCTTTTTTCGTGACTTTTTATTGCTTGAATACCCATGTTTGAAAGTTCAATTATTTTATTGCATAATTTGCATCTTGCCTGGGTTTTATTTTTCTCTTTCATTAGCCAAGAGTCAAAATGAGGGTAAATGTCTTTATTTAACCATTCTTCTTATATTTATAACATAGAGCACTGTAACAAATTTCATTGTATTAACTTTAAAAACCTTTTTTCATTTTCACAAGGAAACTTATGTAACTTAAAATAAAAAAAGAAGTTTTTCGCTTTGAAGACACAAAAATGTTTAAAGTTAAAGATGCTGTTGTTTATAGAACAAATTACAGAAATAGTTTTAAACGATTGAAATTGATCATAAAAAATTATTTTTTTTATTATAAATAAAAAAAGAAACATACACTATCATTGTAAATAAAATAACAACCATAGATAATTTAAACAAAATATTTTTATTGATTAATATTTTAAAACAATTGTTAGTAATAAGAGCGTTTTGTATAATAAAAATACATTTAAAAATATTCAAGTTTTAAAAAAGTTAAAAAGCTGTGGTCAAATTGTTAAGATGAAGTATTATATGCGTGATCATATAAAGGTGTGCCATCACATGCCTTCATGTAAGACACTTTAGGGTATTTTTTAATTGTCAAAATAAACAGGAAGCACCAACATAAACATAATAGCTAATTTGTAAAACGAGTAGTTTCTAAATCAGAATTCCCTGACTACTTAATAAAAAAAAATTTCCCTGACTTTTCCAGGTCTTCCATGACTTTCGCCAAATTTGGCTGATTTTCCAGGAACAGTACGAACCCTGTATATATATTCACGCCAAACTAATGACTGTATTCCTTAACTAGCTTTAGCGTGTTGAATATCAAGTACCACAGCGTCTCCTGATAAAAACCTCTAGTTATATCTTAACTTAAGCAACTAAACTTTTATAACTTTTAATATCTTTATTTAATAATATAATTTTATAATAAAATTATAACTTTTAATATCTTTATTTTAAATCACAACTGAAACTATCCATTGATTATCCGTGTAATATTTTAATCCGGAATTTGTTTTCCTATTATTACTTATAATTTTGCTTTTATGTTGATTTGAATTTTCTAGACACTTAATAATTTTTTAAGCGACGAGTGAAATAGCTTAATAAATATATTACAGAAATGTATACCTCAACTTGCATGTATAAAAATACTTGGAATATCCGGAAAAATAAGTTTTAAAAAAATATCCGTAATTACGGAAAAAGATAATCCATGAATCGTCTGACAAAAAATCCGTAAGACGCGACTTGAAAATTAGGCGGGTTCGCGCTTTTTCGTTTACAAAAAGTAACAGAACTTGAATTTTTTATTGCGATTTGTATAGTTAAGCGCAAAATTAAACACCCGAAAATTGCACTTTTAGAGCTAATAATTTAAAGTGACTCGAAAAAAATAGTGTTTATCAACACGGTAACGCATCTGAAGAAGGATCACAAAGATCATTATCTTTGTTTTTAAAAAAAGTAGAAAACGATGATACAGAAAGCCATTGCTTTACCCGCTTCGCGTTGCAAATATTCTTATAGCAGAATAAAAAACAACTTAATTTTATCATTGATTTAAAAAATCATTTGATGCGGATATTGTCCTTTCCTTAAAGTGAAGAGAGATTTCATGTATTTAGTTAACAATGGAACGGGTTTGATCAGAGGCAATAAAGCTTCGTCGACTTCTTTTTGACTAGATTTACGCTCCTCGCTTGGCTTGTAACCCTAAAAAATATACAACCGTTTCATAGAATTATAATTTAACTTAACTGATACAAGTGTGTTAACATTATTTAATAATATTTACTCTGAAACCATTTAAACAACATATTTAGAACATTTTTTATATAAAAAAAACTAATTTTAAAAAATTTATCACCTAACTTTTTAGCATGAATAATATTAAAAGTCATCTGTATTTTTGACGTGAATTATTAATAGCAATGGATTTTGGCACATTAAAGTACAGCTTATTTATACATAGGGGTGAGTAGGATAACCGGTTTTGCTCACCCCTATTCATACTTTTTTAAAAACTTAATTGATTGACTAGTAATCTGATTAGTGCAAGTATGAAGTGCAAGTAAAACACAGAGTAACTGAGAAAAATGAAGTGCAAGTGAAACACATGAAGTGCAAGTAAAACACAGAGTAACTGAGAAAAATGAAGTGCAAGTGAAACACATGAAGTGTAAGTAAAACACAGAGTAACTGAGAAAAATGTTTGAAAACATATTTGTTTGCATACTTTAAAAAATATTTAATCAAATAAAACTGTTTTTTCATGATGAATAGTCTTCACAATAAGTTAAGCCGAAGGCAATTCTAAAAACTTCATGTAGCTATGACTAAGTAATTTATTTACTTTATTATCACACAATATTATTTTAATTTTGAAAATCACAAAATAATTTCTGACTCAACTAAAATGTGAAAACTTGATATTTCATAATAATTTTAAACAATTGTAAATGACTCACGTTTAATAGATGTGTAAAATCAATCAAAATAAGTTTAAAATTAAGAAGGAGGGATTTATATAACACATGCATCTTTATAAACAACGTATATTATACCCTATATATACAATGCATTCTTTAAAAATAATAAACAAATCAAAAATTACCTCAGCTGATTCATCAAACATACTTTCTTTTGATCTAGCAACCTTCTTTTTTTGACGTTTAAAAAAATCATCAGTTAGCTGCTTGGAAAGTTTAACTTTAGATATATCTATTTTAGTCTTGGTAGCAAGAACATATGATTGTGGAACACGGCGAAGAGGCACTCCATTAATAGTGAATGGACCTAATATATAAAACATTTTCTAGAAACAATGTGCTTCTCACAGAATTTATAGAACCACATAACTTAAAACAAATGTTTGAAAGGTGACTGACAAATATGGCTAATAAAAAAACCAATTTGCTAATTAACCGCAGTTTTATTTAGCATAATTTTAGAATGTATCTAATAAATAAATACAGTTTCTAATTATGCACAAAAAGTTTAAATTATAGATACATACATAGAGCCTTTTAATATTTCCTTATAACTTTGAGAAACATTTATACGAACTTGATAATACTTGGTAAGTAATGGCAAGTGATCTGTTTAACTTATTAGATATATTGTTATAATGGCAAGTTTAGACTAAATTTTAGTCTAATTTCATAGACGAAGCAGATCAAAATAAGGTTAAAAGAAAAAAAAAAATTTTTTAACTTGATTTTGATTTGTCTTTATATCTCTTTATATACTTTGCTTTTTATTTTAGATTTTTATATTGTAGAAATAATAATGCCTAAATCACAGTAATACGTGCCTTTATTATTATGTGGTCCCAAAATGGAGGCAAAGACTTCCCTTCTATTTGTTGTTGCTTCAAAAACTATTCTTGTTATTGAAGCATAAATTTCAAAAGAATAAATGAGAGGAGTGGAAGCGATGGGAAAATATTTACTTACATTTACAATTATTTTTGTTGTTTGTTCATCTACCTATTGCAAATGTAGCGAATTAGTATTTGAAAATATATTTTGCTTTTTTTTTGTTGCTACTATCTATATAAACAGAATTTGTAAATAAAAATAAATTTGTTCCGTTACAGGGACTCTTAAGTGCAACACGAATTGATGTTTATTTTGCAAATAAATACTAAAAGTTTATTAAACTTAAAAATTATTGAGACAAAAAATATTTGTTACTTTGCACAACCAAATTAAATTTACCTTTTCTATAAATATAAATATTAAAAAAAAAAACGTTACAAATAAACCTAAGTGCTACATTAGGCATATATGCATAAATGTAAATTTTTGAAAAAACAAAAATAGTAATTTTAAGAATGATGCCATAATATAAAATAAACAATAAAAATAGTAAATTTAAAGACATTAAACTATAGTAGTTAAGACATTAAATTAAGACATCAAGAAAAATATAGTAGTTAGGAGGTAAAATCAAGACATCAAAGTTTTATATTACAGGACATTAAACTATTAGAACTTATGATGACTGAAATATCACTATTTAGTTGTCATTTGTATTGACATTAACAGTTAAATGCAAAAAGGAAAACTTAATTATAACATAATACTTGATTTTAAGTTATTTAAAAGAATTTTTTGTATTGTCATTTATTATTTACAAAAGCACATTAATCAGACCAGTAACAGTTGGCGTGTAACATACTTACCATGACAAATATTATAAGAATTTGGAAAGCTAATAATATTTAATCTGACAATATTCTTTAACAAATTGTATAAATTAAATTATTATTGCAAAAAACAATAGATAAACAAAATATTAGACATTTTTATCATGAACACAAGAATTTACAACACATTTAAATCACAATGTATTTGACCAGAATTAAATATTTCAATTTATTTTATGAAAAAGTTTAGGCTTAATCAAAAAATAATGGCAGCACTAGTAATTGCATTAATCAAAACAAAAAAATGTACTAAAAAAGCAAATAAAACAAATTCAAATAATAGAAACAGCATAAAAAAGTGTCTAATAAAATTCGATTTCAATTATTTTATGTTTCTATTCATATTTTATTCCAATGCAGTGGTCTGAAAACCACTGCATTGGAATAAAAAAATGTATGTATAATTGGGCTTCAGCAAGAGGGAGGGGTTAAGGGCATTGCCTACCTCCCCTCACCAACAAAAATACTAAATGTCAAATATTTTACTTCAAAATTTTATGTGATGATTTCTTTTTTTTTTCACAATAATTTTGAATAATTAATTCAAATTACAATTTTCTTTTGTTTCGTTTTTCAGACTACTGTGCAATATGTTAAAATTAAGAAAACTTGATTTATTATTAATTCTTTATTTAGAATAACACACTTTTAAGTGCAATTTTATTAGGCTTAAAAAATTGCTAGATCATATCTGATGAGTAATGGTTAACAAACTTTTGCAAGTTGACTCTTCTGTTTATTATGGAGGTGAAATTAATTTAAATTACATACACTTCAAAAAATAAATTTTTAAACACTTAAGACACACACACTCTTTTAAAATACTTAAGTTTTTGACTATTGAGATAATTTACTTAAACACATTCATTCACAGATAAAAAGAATACAAAATTTAAAATAATAAAAATAATAAAATAAGAAAAACATACCAGTAACTAGAAGAAGTCCTGAAGTTGGAAGCTGCTTAAGAAATACTACTCTCTAAATAAGAATATTTTAAACGTACAGTATTGATAGCAAATAGCCAAATAACTTTAAAGAAAAAGTCTAATAGGCATTAAAATGTAGAAGACATTTATGTCTTAAATGAACTCAAATAAAAAACATAATAGCATAAAAAAAAACACATAAAAAAACACTAAATATCCTTTTAAACTTTAATTGTTAGATCTACTTTTGTAAGCATTACACATCATAAGATACATTAACCTTAATACTTATATTAAATTTATAAAACATTAACTATTTATGATGTTGATATTCCAGCTCCTTAAAGTAAAACTCTGAAGTCAAAGCAATTAAGAAATTTCTGTGATATTCTGAAATATTATAAATAAAAATAAAATAAATAATATATAAAGCAATAAAATAAAAATGCTTTAAATTGATGGTGATTTTAGAAAAAAATATTTGCTATTTTTTAAAATTTGAGAAATTTTAATAAGACTGCTTTGTCTAACTCTTTTACAAATGCATGTATAAACATATGCCAACTATGCCAAAAAAAAACTACATAAATCTTGCCTATATCTAGAGTAAAAATTTTTAACTTAACCTATATCCTACAAAAATTCTATCTATATTCTACGAAGATTTGTTTGATCATAGAAACTAACTAGTTCATAGTCAAAAGTTAATACTTTACATTTAAACTTTAAAATTAAGTTATTTATAATTTTTAGGACTTAAAATTAAATTTTTAAAAAGTTTTGATGTGTATTTTTTTTAATATTACCTTAAATTTGAAGCACTTTTATATGATTAAAATTGTAGAAAAATTGTACTATTTTCTTTCCTTTAGAAATGATCTATCAGTAGGGACAACTAAAATTGACAAATCTTTTATATATTTTTAAAGTTTCATTTAATTATATTAAGTTTGATAAACTTCATACCAATTTACTCTTACAATATTTTTTCTGGTACAAATATATAAAAACTGATGCAGTAAATTTAAATATTATATACTTAAAATTAAGAGTTTTTTTAATATATATCTACACAGGAGACTCCAATAAACGTAAATTTATTAACAATATCTGATTAACAATAATTTTATACATTTATTATACATAAAAATGATCAAGTTATTAAAATTTAAGTTTCTAAAAATTTTTATTTATTTTGGCTTTCAAAAACTTAATTACAAGACACTAACCTTTCCTTTATGGCGCCCAGCTAGCAAAATAACAACGGTTCCTGGAGTTAGGCTTGATCGTAGCTTTGGAGGTTTAGGATGTTTTCTGTGTTTTAATGGTCTTTTGACATCATCCACAGGATAAAATCGTGGTTGTTTAACAAGTGGCAATGTACGCTGCCCTCCATTTTTTTCTCCGCCGATTTTCTTTACTTTGGGTAATGCTGGTTCAGCTTTTTTGGCTTTAACTGGAACCCTTTTTTTCTTATATAATGCTCGTTTTCTAAACACAGCACTTCTACTTAAACGACTGATTCCTCCGGGAAGTAAGGAATTACGAGATGAGTGAGGCTTTGCCATCTATAAGGAATAAAAATTCTTCCAAATCATTCATAAATTATTAACCACTAACCAATATTTAAGACTTTTCTTTTAACCCATTATTTGTTTAATGAGTTCGTTATCATTGAAAAATATATAAATTACAACTAAATACAACTAAATACGCATATAACATTTAAACACATTTGAAATCATATAGAGTGATCAAGATGAATCAATAGGATTTAACAAACGTACATCAGTCGTTAAATTTGGCCACTAAAAAGACATTAACGGCGCAATCTTGGATTCAAAGAGAGACTAGAGATGGTACTTCAAATAAACCGAGAACCGAAAAACCGACCCTTACGGTGTTTAAAATTTTAAGAAACAACAAAATTATTTTTTACATAGTAGTAGTAGTATTAGTAGTAAAATTGCTGCAAAAGGTTGTATAACCTACAGGTTTTGGCAGCCTTATCTACTTCATACACAAATTATATTCATATCAATATATATTTACAATAAGATATATAGTATGAAGTATAAGTTTGTACTTTATTGCTTTTTCCTTTTTTTTTTTTTTTTAGTTATAATCTCGACACTTAAGCGGATTATTTGAAATTTCTGCATCAAGTTTAGCCTTGAAACTGTTAACTGATGAAGCGCATACAACTTCTGAAGACAATGCATTCCAATGATTCACTATTCGATTAGTAAAAAACTGGTGCCTTTGCTCGCAATTTTGAACATATTCTCTTGTCATTTTTAGATGATGTCCTCTAATTTTTATTTTATTTGACTCCCCAATACAAAGGACATGGGGTTCACTCCATGAGATAATGTGTATATTGTTAATAATTTATAGATCTGTATCAGATCTCCCCAAATGCGACGGGTTTCTAAAGACGTTAAGTTCAGTATATTCAGACGATATCTTTGTATGATATATGACGGTACGAAGGTACTAAACGGGTAGCTCTTCTTTGCACTTTCTCAATTTTGTCAATACCTTTTCTTGATGATGAATTGCTGGCTGCTGCCACAAATTCCAGATGAGGTCGTACGAAGTTTGTATATAGAATTTTAAGTACTTGCGGAGTCATATGACTGAAAGTATGATACAACATGCCTAATACACGGTTAGCTTTATTGGTGGCAAAAGTTGAATTGTTTTGCCATTTGAAGTCTGGCGTAATCATGATGTCTAAATTACGTTCGACTAAATTCGATGCTAGTTTGGCACTGTTATTGTTATTAGCTGGCATTGAGTAGACATAAAAGTTGTTTTTTTTACCTACGTGCATGATTTTACATTTTTCGAGATTAAGTTTCATTTTCCAGGTTTTACACCAATCGGCTATATTGTAAATAATAGTTTAAAGTATTTGTAAAGCTAATGGGTGGTCTAAACGGGCCAGCAGTTTAGTGTCATCAGCATACATTTTATATGGATGGTTAACAATATCGGATATATCGTTCACAAAAATGATAAAAGTATTGGACCTAATACGGATCCTTGAGGGACGCCACTAAAGACCTCAAGCCACAAGGAAACATAATCGCTCATCACGATTCGTTGAAAACGCTGGTGTAAAAAATTTTTTTATTTAATTCAGGAGATTTCCAGTAAAACCATATGCTTCAAGTTTGTAAATTAGTCTCTTGTGGGGAACCATATCGAATACTTTACTGAAATCTATAAAAGCTACGTATTTTGTCAGAAAATGCTTTTGACATCATGTCAATCGACTCCAACAAATTAGTCAAATAAGCTATTTTATTGACAAAACCATGTTGATTTTTTGAAATAAGGCTATGTTCGACTAAATGATTGACCATAGTGTCACGTAATATTTTCTCCATCACTTAACATACAACTGATGTTAAGGATATAGGCCGGTAATTGCCTGGGTCGAGTCTACTTCCGCTTTTAAACATTGGTGTTACATTAGCTTTTTTCCATACTTTAGGACAACACCCACTATCTAACGACTTCTGAAAAATTGCGCTTAAAGGTATTGAGAAGCTGTCAGAACAGTTTTTCAGTACATATGCGCTTACACCATCCAAACCAACGGTTTTGTTAAATGATAAATTGCTCAGCTTGTTTTTAACCAGATCTTGCGTTATTTGCGAATATTTGCAGATGGCTTCAGTTCGTTTTATAAAATATGGCAGTTCATCGTTTTCATTTTTGTTGAAAACACTTTGAAAGTGATTGTTCAGCCAATTTACAATTTCAATTGGATTTGTGGTAGTGTCGCCATTGATTCCTTTTAAGGCTGTTATTGTAGTTCTAGCATTTTGTTTGTTATTAACATACTTGAACAGGATTTTTGGGTTGTGCTTCGATTTTATAGCTAAATCAAGTTCAAACTCACAACGAGCTTTATGTATGAGCTTCTTCAATTGAATATTACACGCTTTGTATTCATTGACTAGTTTAAGATTTTTATATCCATTCGCTCTACATCGAAACCATAGTTTAATTTTAGCTTTTATTTTATTCTTGATGTCATCATTCATCCATTCGCTTTTACGACGAATCCTTTTTAAGTTAGTCACTGGGAAATAAGTTTTGCATGCAGCCTCGTAGTGGTTCACGAAAATGTTATAACAGTCATCAGTATTGTGTCCATTGAATTCCATCTGCCAGTTGATATTGTTAAAATATTTGGATATCTTTACAAAGTTACGTTTATGATAAATGCGTTTTTCAATGTGTTTTCCTACAACTGCAGCGCTTTTAACAACATTATCCCATTGAAGGACGTGGTGAGATTTCTTCAGAGACGTTAAAGGTGCATGGTGAATAATATCGAGGACCCAATTTTCATTTTCGGCTTTAATTAGATCAAGAGTGTTGTTCGATGTGATTTCATCAAGTTGAAAAGTGGGCTTAGTAACAAATTGTATCAAAACAACTCGGCGAGGATGTCAATAAAATTACTTGAAAGGGTATCTGTGTTGTTGACAGTTGGGATACTGCTCGAATCCAGTTAATCCCTGGTAAATTAAAGTCTCCACAAATCAACAAGCCGCTGTATATATTAGCAGAAGTTCATTTGCTTTAATAATGGACGCTTCAATATTATCGAGTGGATCTAACATGTGTGGCCCGTATATGCAACCCAGAAGGATGTGTTCGGAACCGTACGATATTTCACACCAAATTTGTTCAGGGGAATGTTATAAAACAATTTCGCTTACTTCATTAGGTTTTAATAAAGTGTCGACATAAATTGCCACCCAACCTTCTCTACTGGACACGCGATCTTTTCTGAATAACATATAGTTTTCAATGTTAGTTATCGATGATTCATGCCACCAAGTTTCTGTAACGAAGATTATTTTAGGATTGTATGTCTCGATTGATGCTAGAAACTCTTGCATTTTATTGTTAAGAGATGTAGGATTGATATAACAGCATGGTATTTTATGGAAAGATGATTGTTGTAGTAGACTACAACAATCATCGTATAATAGATTTATGCTCTAAAGAAATTTCGTTTATATTTAAATTGTCATTATATGGTTTTAAATTACTTACTGTTGATTGCTATTTGTCTACTTTAACTACAGCATTATTACGAATAACGTAGTAATGACTTGTCTTTGCAGACAGTTGTTTTTTAAATTAAGAGGCTCGTTTTTCTTTTTCAACTCGTTTCGTAATAGTCTATCTTGTCTCCTTTGTGCTTCTGTCAGATCTGGATTAACATAGATGCCTTCAAATTTACGCCGGGCTGCTTTAACAATTTTATTTCTGGTGACAGTGTCTGTCGTCTCAACTATAATAGGTGGAATCTTTTGACCGAATTAATTTTAACGTTGATTAGAAGCTTTTTTATTTTGTTCTCATCGTCTACTTGCTTCTCGTTAGGTTCTTTTTTAGTTGATGTTGAAATGCCAAAGACGATAAGATTTTTGTCACGCTTCATTCTATCTTTGTTCTCATTAGCTACACAATTAAGCATATCAAGTTGAGCTGGCGTTTTAGTTGATTTTTTTGCGACCACAACGTTCCATGCTTCCGTTGTAGTCGAGGAAGCAATGGGTTTTTCCTCAAGTTGTTGGATTCGCTTTGTGAGGGCGATGATCGTCGATGTTTGTTCAACAACTGTTTTTGATAACGCTTCTACTTGCTTTAGAAGCGTCTCGTACTTGTTATTCAACTCAGAATTGTCGGCTTTTGGAGGCATTTAGCGTGAATTTGTTTAAATAACAGTATATATAGTTTATATAATATTTAAATTATATGTATATTGATATGTATATGTATATATACTAATATATATAGACATATAATAATATATTTGTATTTTTATTTCGAATATAAATTTCATATAATTTATATAACTTTTTTATAAATAACTTTAAATAATAAACTTTAAACAAAAAATGCAATGGTTTCTCTACGAACAATGAATATAGATATAGAAGGAAAAAAAATGAATAGCAAAATTGTATTGTTTCATAATTATCTTATTGTATTTTTTATGATTCATTAAAAACTATAAATAAATTGAATTTAAAGCAAATTTCAACAAAAAGGGAAAAGTGGTTAAATTTGAAAAAATTCAAGACAAGAAAAAAATTCATCCTAATCAATTTTGGATAAAACCTAATAATATTTTGTTTATAGCTTTGTTATATTATTATTATTTATTTCTACTAAAATATTAAAAAAATAATCATTACATTAGAAACGGGACACAATATTTAAAAAGATAACAAAAAATTTGCAAATTTATGCATAAAAAAAAAAGATGATAGTTTACAAAAATTTCTAAAGCAAATCTTACTTGATTATTTTAGCACATCTAAAATTTTTATGATTAAGAAACATACACTGAAAATTTCAGTAAATAAAGTTTTAATAATCTCGAGATATCAGGTTTCGAAGTTGCAAACAAGAACAAAATTAAAAAGTTATAACAATGAACAAACTTTTGGATAAATAGAAATTATCAACAAAAAAACTAATCTGACCTATAAAAAAAATTTAATTCAAGTAAGTATTTCAAACAAAATGTATATATTTTCTAAAAGAATGATGAATTTTGCATTGAATGGTATAAAAAAGTACTTAAATTTTTTTTTAAAGTAAGTACCGTCAACCTTTGAACTGCGGGGTAACTTTGAACACAGATTGATATTTTGTTCTAGATGTAGTTATGAGAAGTATTTATATGAAACTGTTCGACACTTAAGCATCAAAATATCAGAAATATATTAAATTTTGATTACTTAAAGTTTTACTTTGCTTTACTGGTTTTATTGCTTCTTTAAAAATGATTTAAATATTTCGGATATTTTTCTTAAAAAAATTAGCCAGTATACTTCGTAGACTGCCTCAGCTCGTTTAGCAGCTTGTTGTCTAAGTTATATAATTTTTGTTTATAAAATTATTAAGTATGTAAAAAGTAAAGGAATTTCCTAGCCTGCTTTAGTTATTTTTCATGGGTGTAGCATAATGGGTGTAGCATGTTTTGTTTTATACATTTTTTCGCTTACTGTAAAATAAGATTCAAAATAACCCGACAACTTAAATTGTCAGAAACATGTAACAATCAGACCCGACGAGAGGGGGGGCCAGAGAGGGTATTTTCCCTGGCCCCGGACCCGTAGGAGCCCGGGCCCATCACCATCGGTCTCTTAGTCTATCAGGTCCCAGTCTCCAGGTAATCAGCCAATCCCCATCAAGCAACATTGTGTCGGCATCACTTCATCAGTTAGATAAATAAATAAATTTACTATGTAATATTGGTAGGATAAATCTATTCTTTATTAATAATTTAATTTATTTAATGAAAATACGCTTTTGAGAGTAAAAACGGAGACTAATAGCCTCTAAAACTTAAAAAATAAATATAGGGCACCAGCCCGCAGGTTTTTCGTAAGTTCCTTGCTCATGCCATGCTTTATAATATATATAATAGGCCTATATATATATAATATAAATATATAATATAATATAATATATATAATAGGCCTATATATATATATATATATATATATATATATATATATATATATATATATATATATATATATATATATATATATATATATATATATATATATTATATATATATATATATATATATATATATATATATATACTGTACTGTACATTAAACTAAACTTCTATTTTAACTTTTAACAATTATTAATTGTCATTTATTTTAATTTGTCAATTTACTTATTAACTTAACTAATAAATTTTTTTTCTATTGTTACAGGACCTCGCATAGACAGCCTACTACATGCAGCTATGGATCATTACCAGCATAAATCTGGTGCTCAAAAAAGAAAAGAAAAGATTGCTCGAGAAAAATCAGCCAAGAAGGGTCAAAGTACGATTGAGTCTTTCGGATTTATAAATTGTAATCGTATTGATGGTGTTTCTGAGGATCAGATGTGCAAGATGAAGTCACAACTCTCAAATGTTGAAGTAGAGCCAGTGCCAATTGAGGAAGATGAATTGTTAAATAGGAAAGTTATGAGTGCTGATGTGAAAGAGAATGTAATAGACGAAAATGAAAATATTCTTCCAAAGACATCAACTGCAAGGCTAGAAGAATTACAAGACAAGGCAGATGATGTCCAACTAGTTCCATCAAATAACTATGATATTGGTTTAATTAAGGAATTATTTTGCACTGCTGAACAAATAGAAAAATTTGTTCATTATAGACCCATTGCTTACCCAACAAAATTTCCAAAAGATGCATTGCCTAAATCATTTCCGCGCACGTTATTTCACATTGCCATGCCAAACGGCGAAAAAGTTCAACGAGATTGGCTAACGTGGAGTGAGACGAAGAATGCACTTTACTGTTTTCCCTGCCGACTTTTCTCTAAAATGCCAGAAACCCATCGATCGGCATTATCTCTGCCAACAGGATATTCCAAGCCCAAGGACAATAAATGGAAGAAACTTTATGAAAAAATTCCTCATGATCAATCCAGCACTGGGCATAAGATGTGTTATGTAGAATAGAGACTAAAATCTCAGAGAATTAGAAGAAAATCTCAGAGATAATACAACTATCAGTTTTCTACTAAATGATAATATAAAGACAGAAGTGGAAAGATGGAGGCAAATACTTCGTAGAGTATTAAATGTTATCTTGTTTTTAGGTGAAAGAGGTCTTGCATTTAGAGGCGATAGTCATCTAATTGGTGACCCCAAAAATGGGAATTTTTTGGGAATTATGGAACTCATTGGTCTTTACGATTCCATTCTACATGATCATCTTGAAAAAGTAAAAGCTTCTCAACAGAGCCATAAGCGAATGCAAGCACATTATTTGTCAAATGATATCCAGAATGAGTTTATTCAGTGCTGTGCAGATCAAGTCACAGATGTGATATTAGATGAGAGGGAGAAATGCAAATATTTTTCAATGATTGTGTATGCAACGCCTGATACAGATCATATTGAGCAAAATGTTTTTATTTTAAGATACGTCTTACAAAACAAATTGACAGGAAAATATGAGGTAAAAGAGAGATTTCTGGAATTTGTAGATTGCAATAAAAAAACTGGTGAAGATATTGCAAATATAATTACTTCTACACTTCAGAAACATAAAATACCACTGATGTGCTGTCGTGGACAAGGATACGACAATGGGAGTAATATGAAATGTTCAGTCAAGGCTGCACAAGCTCGAATTCTTCAACATTATCCACTTGCTACTTACTCTCCCTGTGCTTGTCATAGTCTGAATTTATGCGGTGCACAAGCTGCTGAATGTTGTCCTCAAGTGATAACTTTCTTTGGGATAGTGCAAAAACTGTATAACATATTTAGTAGCAGTCCTCAAAGATGGGAAATTAAAAAAAAAAATATTGGTTCGTCTTTTCATATCATGTCCCAAACGCGCTGGTCAGCTAGAATGGACTGCATTAAGTCATTCGCAACCCACCTTCCTGGTATAATCAAATCAGTAGCTGATATAAGGAACCTAAATTTGTCTATAGAAAATCGTGCTGATCTAAATGGGATTATTTCATATATGGAATCGTTTGAATGCATTCTGATGTCCGCTATATGGTTCAAAGTACTTACTGCTATCAATTACACCAATCTTGTTTTGCAAGCACGGAATGCTACATTGGATGTAGAAGTGACCAACATCAAACGACTAATTGATGAATTAAAAACTCTTTGAGATAAATGGGATTCTATTATGGTGGAGAGTAAATTAGTTGCAAACACCTTAAACATTTCTCAAGAACTTCCAGAACCTAGACGAAAAATTAGGAAGCGATTTGCTGATGAGACACCTGATGAAATTTCTCTATCAAATTCTGAAAATAATTTTAAACAAAACGTTTTTTATATATTATTGGACTGCATTATAGGGAATATCAGTAGACGATGTGAAGCTGCATATGAAATTGACGAAACTTTAAACTTTATCTGGAAGTATAATCATTACGAAGAGGAAGAAATTTGCCGAAGGAGTAAGGATTTTGTGAATAAATACAAAGATGATGTTTCCATGGAGCTGATTGATGAGCTTTTGCATTTGAAATTTATCCATGATGTTAACATCAAAAATGATTTGGACCCCTTTCTTCTTCTCAATAAAATCAACGACCTGAAACTTATATGTCTTTTCCCCAACATTTGTATTGGCCTGAGAATTTTTTGTACATTACCAGTTACGGTAGCACAAGCTGAACGGTCTTTTAGCAGACTGGCGCTTATAAAAGATGATCTAAGATCAACAATGACGCAAGGTAGAGTTTCTGGCTTGGGAATTTCAGCGATGGAGTGTGATTTAGCAAAAAAGATCAATTTTGACAGTGTAATTGCTGATTTTGCCAGGAAGAAAGCGAGGAAAGTTTTAATCTAATTTACAGGTTTTATATATTTTAATTTTGTTGTAGTTAAATTATATATAATTTTTCACTGTATTATATTTAAAATATACTTGTAAATAAAATACTGTATATAGTCAAATTAAAAAATTATTTGTATCAAAAGTAGTATTATTCATATGTCTGAAGCCCTAAGCCCTGAGGAGGCCCGTCAGTTTGATATTACCCCAGGCCCAGTACCAGCTCTCCACGGCCCTGGTAACAATTTTAAGTTATATTGCATATAAACTTCTTATAATGAATGTATAATACATAGTAGTATTTTGTTTATAAATTGATATATGATGTGCAGTTAGTAACTTATACATATACACACACATACACATATTTAACAGTGTGTGTATGTATGTGTGTGTGTGTTTATATATATGTGTGTGTGTGTGTGTTTATATATATGTATATATATATGTATATATATATATATATATATATATATATATATATATATATATATATATATATATTTATATATATATATATATATATATATATATATATATATATATATATATATATATATATATATATATACCCCAATATACCCCACCTCTAGGCAAGTTTTGCGACACCGGTTGGGAAGGAGGCGTGGACTTCCTATCAAATGCTCTTCCGCGGTGCTCTGTAATAAGACCTTAAGGACTTCTTGGGGCACCTTAATCAACTTGAAAAAAAAAAAAAAAATATATATATATATATAGTATACATATATATATATATATATATATATATATATATATATATATATATATATATATATATATATATATATATATATATATATATATATATATATATATATATATATATATATATATATATATATATATATATATATATATATATATATATATGTATAATATATATATATATATATATATATATATAATATATATATATATATATATATATATATATATATATATATATATATATATATATATATATATATATATATATATGTATATAAAAATACTTAATGAATGGAAAATGTCGTGTTCAAAAAAAACACAGACAATTACAAAAGACAAATTTCCTTCTTTATTAAAAAAGTTATATACTTATATATATTTGCCAGATCAAGAGGTAAGCAGCACTTTAGTAGCTGGTTTTAAAAAATCTGGTATTTACCCATTGAATGCAAGTATTGTCCTCAATCGTTTACCAGATGCTGATAAAAATATTGAAAGTTTTAAAAGCAACGTTACCCCCCCCCATCAATGATTTTTAGTCGGCAAATTGGACCTATTCGATATAAGTTAGTCGGTAATGTAGACAGTCGGCAAAAGTCGTCATGGCAGACGGCAAATTTTGGAAAACGGGGAACTTTTTTTTTTGTTTTTTTATTCAGTAGTCGGCAAAAGTTTGTAATGGCACCCACACCCCACCCCCACCCCACGTGACACCTACTCGCGCCGGCCCTGTATAGAGAGAGAAAAAGAAAGAGAGAGAGAAATGTAAATTTTTTTCCGGATTAATTTTTCAGCGGTTGTTAGAAACCACTAATACAATTACTTTTGATTATAATTAATTTTCTCTGGCTGAAGTAAATAAAAACGTTATAATAGCGTCTTAGCACTAAATAACTGAAAAAAAAAATACTTACAAAATAAATAGTAATTCGAAAATCTCGAATCATTTTTTTTAAATCGAATCTTGAATCAAAGCGACACCTGATTTGCGAATCGAGTCGATTTGCTGGGCTTTAATATTTATATAAACCATATTATTTTATATACGAACTATAAAATTTGGTGTTTTTAAGTTTATAAACATCAATATATATATATATATATATATATATATATATATATATATATATATATATATATATATATATATATATATATATATATATATATATATATATATATATATATATATATATACATTAAACTCATAAATGTAATGAAATGATTAAAAAGGTTCAAGAATCTAGCTCTCTCTATATCGAAATGAAACCACCAAAAGATTTAAAAGGTCGGCCCATTATTGATGGAATAGATTCACCAACTTCCCAGTAAAGACGCGATATCAATGCGATATCAATGTGATAAGTTTTTGATATCAGAATGATATCAAAAACTTCTTAAAATGTGATACTAAATAAGGGGTTGTCCATAAAGTACGTGCGCTTTTTTTTAGCCAAACTCCCCCCCCCCCCATATTGCCATTCGCTTTTTGAAGTACCTTCTACCTCCCTAAGCGTACTTATTTAACTTACCAAAAAACTTACCAAAAACTTCTCAAAATGTGATACTAAATAAGGGGTTGTCCATAAAGTACGTGCGCTTTTTTTTAGCCAAACTCCCCCCCCCCCCATATTGCCATTCGCTTTTTGAAGTACCTTCTACCTCCCTAAGCGTACGCATTTAACTTACCAACCCAACATTTCATAATATTTTTTTTAATTTATATATATATATATATATATATATATATATATATATATATATATTATATATATATATATATATATATATATATATATATATATATATATATATATATATAGGGCTGCCAAGAGGGAGGGGCAATTGAAGTAGTTTGCCCTGGGCATCACAGTCTATGGAGCATCACATAAAAAAAAATATTGTAATTATAAAAAATTTAGCTGATAACATATTTAAGGCTTAAACAATTTTTATGTATTTCGTTCTCCTTTAAAACTTTGTTTACATTTAAAATAGGATAATTATTACTTATTACAAGGTTGTCATTTTCCATATGAACGCACACGTTTTCATTGACCTTTACTTTGCCTAATTTAGTAAAGATTATTTTCTTATTTAACGGTAAGTAAAAAAGTTCTTTTCAAGGTGAAACAAAATTGGAGATAAAACAAAGCGATGGAAAGTAATTTTATCATGAATTCTTGACAATTTTCCTAGCGTAATGAAATTTTGCTTTTAGGGGTAAGAACATTGTTTTTAAATTTAAATTTTTATTTTGCATTACTTTATTTATAATTTAAAAATCAAAATTATAAGATATAACTAGATATATGGATAATTATTTTGATTAATTTTGTTTGAAATTAGGATCCAATCAAAAGTTGTTTAAAAATGGGAGTAGAAACTTCTAGGAGCGCTTGAATTAGTTGCTCGCCACAAAAAACGTTCAAAAATCAAATGCATCTTATAACTAAGCACCAAGATGAAGAAAAATGCAAGCTCATTACTTATCCCGGAAATCACAGATTGTTTATATTTATTGAATATATTGGTTCAAGAAGTTAATCAAGAAATCAAAAATTTTAACATCAACATCAACCCGATTCGAGAAATCAACATCTTTCAACATTAACACGAACTGCAATTCCGATTCGTCCCACAGCGGTCAAATTACTTTAATTTTTCGTTTTTCACCTTTCAGTGATAATCAGCTGTGGGAGGTCAAAGAAAGGTTTCTTAAGCTAGAATAACTCAAAAAGAAGAAAAGGTCTGATATAACAAAGTTGATATTAAATGTGTTGGAAGAGAATGAGTTCGACATAAAAATTGTCGTGGTCAAGGCTATGACAATGGCGCTAAAATGACAGGTATTTACAATGAAATTCAAGCTTTGATTCGGCAGAATAGTCCACAAGTAATTTTTGTTCCTTGCGCTGCTCACAGTTTGAACTTATGTGCAGTACATGCTATTGAATCATCGGTTCCCGCAAAATCCTATTTTGGAAATATTCAAAAGCAGTACAACTTGTTCAAGTTTGTTGAAAAACTTTTTAGGAGGAGACAGATCAATCATTAGATAAACTTTCTGTTACACAAAGTAGCTCAAGGATTGAACCGGTCATTCAACTAACACAAAAGCCAAGAAAGATCTTGAAATCATTAAATAGTCTAAATGAGTCCTTCCAGAAAAACTAGTATTGCTTCGTCTCGAAGGTCTATTGTTTTAAGTGCATTATCTAATTAAATGGATGAATTCTTTTGAATTTTTTGTTTTCACTACTTCTTGGTTTAAAGGCTTGATGAAAGTTAATAATGTGAGTCTTCAACTTTAATCCACTCAACTCACTCTTGATAATGAAGTAAAGATTCTAAATGGTCTTTTGACAGATCTGGATCGAATTTGTTTGTCTTGGGACCTGATTATACCTGATAGAAACAAAAAACGTTGCAAAGAACTTGAAATTTAATAAAAGTATGTTTGCTGTAAAAAGAGAGCAAAAAAAAAGGAGGTCTAGCCTGATGAAATTGCTAGTTACAACTACGAAGAAACATCAAAAACTTTGAGTGTAATATCTTCAATGTTGCACTCGACAATCTGACTATTCAATTGAGATCAAAATTTAAATTAATGAAAGAGGAATGTAATAAGTTTTTCTTTCTTTGGTCTTCACAGAAATCTCAAACAGACGAAGAACTAGGTTTGAAAGTTGAGAATCTGGACGTGATTCAGAAAACTTATGTAAGAACGAATTTTTTGATAAAAGTTGGCATTTTTTTCCGTTAAAAGAAATATTCTACCTAGCGAAAAGCCTGTCGAACTTCTAAATGAAGTTTATGCAAAGGGGTTGCATTCAATATTTCCTCAAGTGTATATTTCACTTAGAATCTTTCTAACATTGCCCGTTTCCACATCTGAAGGTAAAAGATCTTTAAGCAAGTTAGCCATCATTAAAACTTATCTTCGTTCCACAATGGACCAAGAGCCATTTTGCTACTTAATGATCGTTTCAATTGAATCAGATTTATCAAATATCATTTCTAATGAAGAAGTTATTTTTGCTGCTAAGAAGTTCCAGAAGATGTGTTCGAAGATATGACTTTACCATAGTTTATTTTTACAAACCGAAATAAAATGTGATTTTAGGTTTTCTTTGAATGTAAACAAAAAATTAATTATACTAATTTATTAGGTATTTATCATTTTAAGACCTGAAGTATGATAAGGCACACATTGAACATTGAAGTATGATAAGGCACACATTGAACAAGAGCTTTTGTGATGTCCCGGACATCACAAAAGCTCT